CCTGCCAGGCTCTCGCAAATGTGAGCCTTGATAATTTTTTCAAAGACTTTGCCAAGGATGGAGGTGAGACTGACTGGCCTATAGTTGCCCGGGTCCTCCTTCCTCCCCTTCTTGAAAACGGGGACCACATTGGCCCTTTTCCAGTCCTCCCAGACTTGGCCTGTGCACCACAAGTGTTCAAATATTCCTGCCAGTGACTGTGCAATGATGTTGGCCAGTGCCTTCAGCACCCTCGGATGGAGCTCATCCGGTCCTGCTGACTTAAAGGCATCCAGATCCTCCAAGTGAATCTGCACCATCTCAGGATCTACACATGATAGTCTGGCACCTTGCTGCTGCCTCTACAGTCCTAGTGAGAGACTTGTCTTGCCCCTCATTTAGGAACACTGAGGCAAAGAACTCATTGAGGAGTTCAGCCTTGTCTGTCACCAATTGCTTCTGCCTATTTAGTAGGGGTCCTATTCCTCCCTGAAAAAATCTATGCACCCAACATGGGGCTTGAACCCACGGCCCTGGGATTAAGAGCCCCATGTTCTACCAACTGAGCTAGTCAGGCACTGATTTTGGAGTATCTGAAACCCCAGGCTGAAGAGTCTGGGAGGTAAGATCCTTGCTGGTGGTAACACACAGACCTGAATGATTGAGCTCCTCTGAGTGGATGGAATTTGGAACTGATTTGGCTAATTTGGCCTGAAACATGAAATTTAAATTAAAAAATTAACATTCCTGGTGATCAGTGGTGTCCCTCAGGGTTCAGTACTTGGACCAGTGCTTTTCAACATGTTCATCAACGATTTGGATTCAGGTGTTAAAAGCAAACTGGCAAAGTTCACTGACAACACCAAACTATGGGGGACTGTGGTCACCCACAAGGATAGGCTGGCAATACAGGCTGACCTAGACAGGCTTGCGTTGTGGGCAGATCTCAACCTGATGTCATTTGATATGGAGAAATGTAAAGTGTTCCATCTGGGGAGAACTAATCCACAACTCACTTACAGGCTCAGCAGTGCTATGCTTGCCAGCACCACAACTGAATGAGACCTGGGTGTCGTGATAGACCACTAAATGAACATGAGCCACCAGTGCAATGCCGGAGCTGACAGAGCTAATCAAACAGTGGCATGCATCTACCGAGGCATCTTGAGCAAGGCTAAAGATGTCATCCTTCCACTCAACTTGGCCTTGGTGAGACCACAGCTGGAATACTGCATCCAGTTTTGAGCTCTGCACTTCAAGAAGGATGTGGAGAAGCTCAAAAGTCCAAAGGAGACCCACATGCATGATTAGAGGCCTAGAGATCAGGCAATATGAGAAGAGGCTGAAAGACTTGGGCCTGTTCAGCCTAGAGAAGAAAAGACTCAGGGGACTTGGTAACAGCCTGTAAGTATATCAGGGCCTGAGGAAGCATCTATTCACCAAGAGCCCTAGGGGAGATCAAAAAACAATGGGCACAAACTGATTGAAGATCACTTCAGACTAGACATCAGGAAAAACTTCTTTACCAGTCGAGTGCCGAAGGTTTGGAACAGTACACTCACCCACCCTGGGGATCTTCAAAAAGCGTCTTGCTGCTCATCTTGCTGGGGTCATCTGACTCCAGCAGTCTTTCCTGCCCTAGTGCAGTGGGCCTGGAGCTGATGATCTGTAAGGCCCTTCCAGACCCTAACATCTATGAAACTATGAAACATCTCAGCCTTTTAGCTAAAATCAAGAATTTTTGGCACCAAGGGGAGGGTGTCAAGGCTGGGTCTGGCCCTCCTGGTGCTGGTTTAATATTGCAGTACCTCCAGGCCCCTACCAGTTCCCTGTGGAGGAAACACCAGCCCAACTTTTTTTTTTTAAAGAACTAAAAAAAAAATTCCCATCAGCACATTTGCCCAATATGGGATGTATATATTATAGTCATGCTCAGTGTTGCTTGCACATAATCAGCTTTATAAATGGTTTCCATTGCTGAACACATGCTGCTTTTGGCAGCAATTCAATGATAAAACAGTGTATTTAATGAGGTATCCTTGTATGCAAATGCAAGATGAGGGGACCTTTTTCTCCATACTGACTAGGGGGAAAAAATCTCACCTTGTATTTGAGTAAATATGGTAATTTTGTGTTTTGTCATATATATTACATAACACAACAATTTTTTATATATAATATACTCTGTGTGTGTGTGTGTGTGTGTGTGTATATATATACTATATACTTGCTTGTGTGTGTGTGTGTGTATATCTATATATATATATATATATATATCTCAATATTGCTATTGCACATGACTTGACTTGAATGATTTGAATATCAGTGAGGGAGCTGAAGAATTAAATAGGCGCTCCTGGTTCATGGGTACAGTACTATTTATTATTTTGTAGATGTTCATCTTATTTCTTTTCTCCCAGGGGGTTCACTGACCTATCCCCTTTCAATTGACCACACTGCAAGAAAGTCCCAGAAGTAAGGAAGAATCCCCCCTCCCTTCCTCCTCATGCATGGCAAAACCTCCCCTTCCCCTTCCTTCTCCCCTACCCACTGCTGCCACTCTCTGGCTACCCTAGGGGTGGGCTCCAGAGCTGCTCCTCCCTGTTCCAGCTGGGCTCTGTACTTGAAGCCAAGCTCAACCAGGGACAGCAGCAGCAAACTGATGCAGGGGAAAGGGAACA